TGCGGTTGCACATCCGTCTCAGGTAAATCTTATTTTTCTATTTCTTTTGATAATAAAATTTAAAAATAACTTTCTTGATGCAGATCTACGGTAAGTTACTATTTTAGGTGAGAATTGCAGTACAATTCCTCAAAATTGATGTCAACGTTAAGATTGAAATTTCAAATTCTTTATTTGTTAATTAATCTTCAAATAATATTATGTAATTTCTAGAATTCTATTAATGAAACACAATTGATAAAATTGGAATTTCAAATTCTTTATTTGTTAATTAATCTTTAAAAAATTCTATTAATGAAACACAAATTCCTATGTTACAATTTTTCAGATACAGTACCAGTAAACTTTATTCTGTTCTAATATTGATATTGATGAATAATCTAACGATAATAATTTTAACAATTTAATCAATATGCACAATCATGCTCTAACAAATATTCTAAATTAAAAATACATATTTATTATTCGTAACTAGGTGCTTGAAATATCAAAGGAAGTTAATAGCAAAATGATATAATATAGTAGGCTTAATATTACTTTGTGAATTTAATTTTATAAATTGAAATATCAGTTTTTAATAATAAATTGTTTTAATTACTGATGTAATTAACTATATATTATATAGTGTATTGAATACCTCAATAAATAAATATATTTCTATATTGTGTAATTATTGATCACAAGTTGCTATAGTCAATATTTTATAAGGGTACTGTTAGACCTTATTTATTGTGTTTTTATGACTTTGTGAACATGGAAACATGGATGTCAGAGACACTGAAATTATTAGTGCGATTCTTGACAAACTACATTAAATCACATAATTATTAATTATTGTGTTTTCATGACTTCGTGAACAAGGAAATTATGCGATTTATTTTAGTGCAAGTTTTGGCAACAGTGCACAAAATTGTGGCATTACGTGTCCTGATGACCTTTTTATTAAACAGAATTTAGAATCTATAGCCGGAGGTAGTAACGATAGTAATTATCATTTGTGATTATAAGAATGTATTAAATTTTTGAACAAACGGAAAATTTCCGATCAAAAATTTGCGCCGGAATTTTTCTTAATTTACCCGAATTTCCGATATTTTACAGTAGATACATCAAATTACATAATTACTAATTATGTTCTTGTGACTTCGTGGACATGGAAATTATGCGATTTGTTTTAGTGCGAGTCTTGTCAAACTACATTAAATCACATTATTATAAATTATTATATATTAATCATTTCGGCAGATCAGCGGAATTGGATCTTAAATTCGGTCACCCAAATATATTACTTTGTGTAATGTTTACTGTCAAATGACCCATAATGAAACGTCAAACCAATCTCCCGACACCAAAACCAATCTCTTATCAACATAAAGAAAGAGAAAACACTCCGAAAACTCTGTAAGTTATGTAGTTTTTACTTTAATAGACTAAGCAACTATGACCTACTGTCACATATATGTACATGTAAGCATAAATAGAAATTCAAAGTTCACCGGGTGTTTCTTGTCAACTATGCGCAAATAAGACATTTAAAAACACTAAAGGATTACTTTTACATCAGCACAAAGTTCATAAACCAAACTACCACAAAAATAATCAACTTTCCAATATTAATTCCTCACGTATATATTGTGTTTTATGCCCAGGAAAAAGTTATAAGAATCAATGTGGACTAAATCAACACGAAGCTATAGTTCATTCTAATTACAATATACCCCGGGCTGGTATAACACTACAGTCTCCTGAAGCGATTTCTGAATTTAAAAGAACTTTAGTTTTTTTTAATTCAAGATAAATTAAAAAATGGATTTCAAACACAAAGACGACATATAGCGAATGTACCATGCTTGGAAAGTTTATTCATAAGTATCTTTCAAGGAAATATCAAAAGAAGTTCACCAAACTGTGGATGGTATTATTGTGTGCTTACAGGGGAAGAAGCATATGATAAGTTGAGTAATGTATTTGAGGATTCAAAGTGGGGTGTGCGCGAATATAAAAATCATCAACAAACTTGGGTAATTTTAGTATCTCAAGATTCGAATCATGTATATAGTTCTTTTATACAACCAAAAATGGAAATTTATTGGAAATGTAGACAAATTAAAGATGAAGCGAATCATATCTCAGAAGCAGGATACATGTCTTTAAGCTTTGTAATTGATCAAATTTATTATTAGAAAATTACAATTATTAAATCTAATAATACAATATTTATTCGTGATTCGTAATTTTAATTGTTCTATCTTTTTTAAAAATGTGGGAACATTGTGTGTATAAAAAAAGAGTACTCTATTTTCAGTTCCATTATTTCTACAAGTGCTGATCTTCGCTTTTCACCAATTCCACCATCCTTTAATGTTTTCGAAAAAAATGGGTAACTTGTTGATGATTCTTTTTTTCCACTGGCGAGCAGGAAAATACATGTAACCCAAAGTCTTTATATATTGTTAGAAATTCCGGAATATAAAACACCAAGGTATGAATATAAGGCGTTATATCGCTAGGCCTATATAAGCCTTTAATGAATGTTGCTGGAAAATTTGGATTTCCAGAAGAACGTGTTAGGAATAAGTCAAGCCAATCTAATGTTTTTTTTTTAAATTCAGGTCCAGATACTCGAAATTGGTGAATATCTTGATATAATTCGTTAAATCCATCCCATAATTGATGTATTTGTGAAGCACGTTTAAGATTTTCAAATAGAATATTTAAGTTAAAGTTTTTTAGTACTTTAAGCTTATCTTCACCATTTAAAGAAGTTGATTTCCAAGTTTTACTTTCAGAATCCTCCCACCAATGAAAATTAACATGAATATGTTTCATTTCTTTACTAATTTCAATTCGAGCTTTTATATTTGTCTTGATTTGTATTTCTGCCATTAAAAGTTGCCATAAGCGATCAGTAATTCGTAACATAACGTGCAGTTCATCAACAATCCAATGTGATACTGGAATCATATGGAACAATGGTAAATGATCATGACCGGGTATAGTTAAATAGTTATTATATATATCATTAATATTTTTTGAAATATTCCAATTATATGTTTGATTGCCATTTTGATTTTTGTGAATAGTGCACCAAAGACAAAAGTGATCAGAATTTGTTGCTTTGTGTCCCATACAAATTGCCAGAAATTTCCAATCAGCAGAAAAGTATAACTGAATTTGCCATCTTCGACCTTGTTTATCCAGTAACTATTTATGATATTATTTAAATCTTTAATTAAGGGTGCTAAAGCTATTTTTAAATTATTATATTTTTCAATACTAGGATAGTGTATAAGAGTATAGTGGTGATCCGGATGATATATATTTGTATAATCATTTAGTAATGCAAAGGTAACCATAACATGATTTACCTTATTACCCACATTCCGCCCATCTCCTGATATTCGAATATGTAATATAGGATAATTAATATTAATAATTTTTTTTCTAATATAATGTAATCAAGTATGTCTTTGATTGATCGGTAAACTCCTTTTCCAATTGATTTAGTTAC